AAAGCTAGTTTGACGGCAGTTTTAACTTTTGTTAATGCTCAGTTTGTGTTTAGTGGGTTAGGTGTTAGTGCGGAAAAAATTGGGTATAGTAGTAGGGAAAAAATGATTAATAAGCAGGAGGACATAAAGAGAGGGGAGGGGTGCATAGCTGCTACTTGGAGTTGCACCAAGAGTTTTTGGTTCCTAAGACCAATGGATGATCTATTATCCTTTAGAAGCTGGAAAAGGTCGAGTGAGCTCCGGGGTTTAACCAGAGTGACGAAAATTAGCAGTTATCGTTGCTGTCGAGCCTCTCTCGGTGGATAAGAGGACTTTAACCTCTTTTTTTAGAATCACAATCTAATGTTTTTGTTAAACTATATCTACAGGCCATTCATCCTCATGTGATTTCTGGTCGGAAGATGAGGAGAATAAGGGGAAGGAGGTGAAGGGTGAGAAGAAGGTGTTCTCGGGAATGGGTGGGGTTGAGGGATAATAAGTGATTTGGGAGGGGCCCTCGTTGAGTTATTAAGTATATATATAGCGAATATCCGGCAGTGATAAGTGTGCCTAGACCGGTTAGGGTTAGTGTTCATATGGATCAGTTGAACAAGGATGAAATAATTATTAGTTCGCCTATAAGGTTAGGTAGTGGTGGTAGGGCCAGGTTGGCTAGACTAGCAATAAATCATCAGGCCGCTATTAATGGTAGAGCTATTTGTAGTCCCCGGGTCAGGAGTAATGTGCGGCTGTGTGTACGTTCATAATTGGTATTTGCTAAGCAGAATAAGGCTGAGGATGTTAGGCCATGGGCGATTATAAGAATAAGTGCACCTGTAAACCCTCAGGGTGTTTGAATTAAAATGCCTGCTGCGACTAGGCCTATATGGCTTACTGATGAGTAAGCGATTAGGGATTTTAGGTCTGTTTGGCGGAGACAAATGGATCCTGTCATTACAATTCCTCAGAGGGCTAGGATGATGAAGGGGTAGCTTAATTCTTTTGTTAAAGGGTCTAAAATGATTAGAATTCGTATTATACCATAGCCGCCTAGTTTAAGGAGAACAGCAGCGAGAACCATGGAACCGGCGATAGGGGCTTCTACATGAGCCTTAGGAAGTCATAAGTGTGCGCCATAAAGTGGTATTTTGACTAGAAATGCTAATAAGCATGCTACCCATCAGGCTTTATGGGCTCACGAGTCTAAGGGGGTGGAAGGGAGGGAAGAAATGGTAAGGAAAGAAAGGGTGCCGGTAGAGCTTTGAAATATTAGTAGTGCAACCAGAAGGGGTAGAGAGCCTGCTAATGTGTAAAATAAGAAGTAAGTGCCGGCGTTCAGGCGTTCTATCTGGTTACCCCACCGGGTGATAATAATTAGGGTCGGAATTAAGGTGGCTTCAAATATAACATAGAACAGGATTATTTCGGTCGCACTGAATGCTAAGATAAGAAATATTTGTAGTGAGATGAGGAGGGAAATATATAATCGTTGGCGGTTAACGGGCTCTGCTGTTAAGTGGTTTTGGCTGGCGATAATTATTAGAGGGAGCAGCCAGCAAGTTAATACGAGAAGAGGGGTGGATAAAGGATCTGTGGCTGTATAGGTTCCAAGAAAGGATGACCCTGTCTCGGCAGATGAAATGAGCCACATAAGGCTCATGGTTGCGATTACAAGGCTATGGAGTAGGGAAGTTGATCAGAGGTGTTTAGAGGGGGTAAATCATGTAGATAATAATAGAAAAATTGTAGGAGTTAAGATTTTTAGCATTGCAGGAGATTAAGACTTTGGAGGCGGTCTGTTCCGTGGGTTCGGGCAGTAGCTACTAGGAGGGCGAGACCTGCGCTGGCTTCACAAGCGGAAAATGCTAGGAGAATTATAGGGGAGGGTGCAAAGTTTGTTGAGTTAAATTGTAGGGTCCAGAGGGATAAGGCAATAAATAAAGATAGTATTATACCCTCTAGACAGAGAAGGGCAGAGAGTAGGTGGGTGCGGTGGAAGGCAAGGCCTGCTAGTCCTAACATAAAGCCGGATGAGAATACAAAGTGAACAGGGGTCATTAGGCAATTATGGATTTTAACCACAGGTTTTTGAGCCGAAATCAAATGTTTTTTTTAAACTAAATGCCTATTCAGCTCACTCTAGTCCTCCTTGAATTCATTCATAAATTAAACCCAAGGTTAGGAGAGTAAGGACTGCGGATGCCCATCCAAAGGTTGATAAGGGGGTGGAGAGCTGGTCGCCTCAGGGGAGAGGAAGGAGAAGGGCGATTTCTAAGTCAAAAAGAAGGAACAGGATTGCAATTAAAAAGAAGCGAAGTGAGAAAGGCAGTCGTGCTGATCCTAAAGGGTCAAAACCACATTCGTAGGGGGAAAGTTTTTCATAGTTGAGATTTACTAGTGGAAGTCAAAAGGCGATGGTAATCAGAAGGGTAGAGAGAGCTAAGGAAATAAAAATTATAATGGTGACTAGATTCATTATCTTTCCTTGGAGTTTAACCAAGACCGTGTGATTGGAAGTCACTTATACTAGCATTCATACTAGAAAGATTATGAGCCTCATCAGTAAATAGAGATGTATAAGAAAAGTCAAACTACGTCGACGAAATGTCAGTATCAGGCGGCTGCTTCAAATCCGAAATGATGTTCTGATGTAAAGTGGTATTGGGTCTGTCGAAGAAGACAGACTGCTAGGAAAGTTGAACCAATAATTACGTGAAGACCGTGGAAGCCGGTTGCAACGAAAAATGTAGAGCCGTAAACGCCATCTGCAATTGTAAATGGGGCTTCATAGTATTCTATTGCTTGAAGGAATGTAAAATAAAAACCGAGAATAATAGTTAAGGCAAGGGCTTGAATTGCTTGTTTTCGTTGGCATTCTATAATGCTATGGTGTGCCCAAGTAACGGTTACGCCTGAGGCTAGGAGGACCGCTGTATTTAAGAGGGGTACTTCAAGTGGATCAAGAGTGGTAATTCCTGTAGGAGGCCAGCAACCCCCTAGTTCAGGGGTGGGGGCGAGGCTGGAGTGATAAAATGCTCAGAAGAAGCCTAGGAAGAAGAAGATTTCGGAGGTAATAAATAAAATTATACCATAGCGGAGACCTTTTTGTACGGGAGGGGTGTGATGGCCTTGAAATGTACCTTCTCGGATAATATCGCGTCATCATTGATATATAGTTAGAAGGAGGAGGATTAATCCTAAAGATATTAGGGTAGTTGAGTGGAAGTGTATCCAGATTGCTAGGCCAGAGGTTATTAAGAGGGCTGCTACTGCGCCAGTGAGAGGTCAAGGGCTTGGGTCTACTATATGATATGCATGTGCTTGATGGGCCATTAAACGTTTTCTTGTAGATATAAACTTAGAAGAAGAACAAACACATATGCTTGAATTATAGCAACGGCAATTTCTAAAAGAGTAAGGAGAAGTAGGAGGATTGAGGTTAAAAATGCTGTTGTTGGCATGATAGGTAGGAGAACAAATGCAGCAGTGGCGATTAGTTGAATAAGCAGGTGACCTGCCGTGAGGTTGGCTGTAAGCCGGACGCCCAGAGCTAGGGGACGAATAAAAAGGCTAATTGTTTCGATAATAATAAGGACTGGGATAAGAGGGGTGGGGGTACCTTCTGGTAGAAGATGTCCTAATGCATGAGTAGGTTGATTTCGTGCTCCAATAATTACTGTAGCTAGTCAGAGTGGCACTGCAAATGCTATATTTAAGGATAGTTGAGTAGTGGGGGTATAGGTGTAGGGGAGGAGTCCTAGTATGTTAAGAGAAATAAGAAATAGTATTAAGGATGTTAAGAGGAGGGCTCATTTATGTCCAGGGATATTAATAGGTTGAAAGATTTGTTGGGTAAATCGGCAGATAAATCAGTTTTGGAGTGTTAAGAGGCGGTTGTTTATTCAACGCAGTGAGGGCTGAGGAAACATTACCCAGGGTAAAGTAAGTGCGATAGCAATTAGAGGAATACCTAATAGTGTTGGGCTAATAAATTGGTCGAATAGGCTTAATGTCATGGTCAGTTTCAGGATTCTGTTTGTGGCTTTTGTTTGGTGTGGGATGCCGGTTCATTTGGAAAATTGTGTGCTAATACTTTAGAAGGAATTACGGTTAGGAAAACTAATCATGAAAAAACAAGAATCAAAAATCATGGGGCAGGATCGAGTTGTGGCATTTCGCTAGGGGTGGTTGGGGGCCACCAGTCTTTAGCTTAAAAGGCTAACGCTATTCCCTGTTTAGCTTCTTAGCGAGGCATCTTCAAGTATCAGGGAGGATCAGTTTTCGAAGTGTTCAAGGGGCACAGCTTCTACAACGATTGGTATAAAACTGTGATTTGCTCCACAGATTTCTGAGCATTGGCCGTAGAAGATTCCTGGACGGGAGGTAATAAAAGCTGTTTGGTTTAGTCGTCCTGGGACTGCGTCTATTTTGATTCCTAGGCTTGGGACAGCTCATGAATGGAGAACATCATCAGCAGAAATTAATACACGGATAGGGGATTCCACTGGAATAACTACTCGGTGGTCTGTTTCTAAAAGTCGGAATTGTCCAGGGGTTAAGTCTTGGGTAGGAATTATGTAAGAGTCAAAGCCTAAGTCTTCGTAATCTGTATATTCATAGCTTCAGTATCATTGATGGCCTACGGCTTTAATAGTCAAATGAGGGTCATTAATTTCATCCATTAGGTAAAGAATGCGCAGGGAGGGAAGTGCAATAAGGATTAGAATTATAGCGGGGAGTAGGGTTCAAATAATTTCAATTTCTTGTGAATCCAAAATAAAGTTGTTTGTTAGTTTTGTAGTTACTATGGCTGCAATAATATAAAGAACAAGTGTACTAATAAGGAAGACAATTATTAAGGTGTGATCATGAAAGTGGAGAAGTTCTTCTATTACGGGTGAAGCTGCATCTTGGAAACCTAGTTGAGAGGGATGTGCCATTAATTCTTAAGACACGCGGGGTTTAAACCCACAACTCTGCCTTGACAAAGCAGTGTTATTTCGTTTCACTAGTGTCTTATGAAGAAAGTGACAGAATGGTGTATGTGGTTGGCTTGAAACCAATTTATGGGGGTTCGATTCCTTCCTTTCTCGAGACGAGGGTTAGGTTAACTATGTTGAATTTGGACGAAGGCAGGTTCTTCAAATGTATGATATGGAGGAGGGCAGCCGTGTAATCATTCGACATTAGTGGGTGTTATTTCAACTGAAAGAACTTCACGTTTAGCTACAAATGCTTCTCAAATAATAAATAAGAATATAATTACGGCAATTAGTGAAACCATAGATCCGATGGAAGATACTGTATTTCACAGTGTGTAGGCATCGGGGTAGTCGGAGTATCGTCGAGGTATTCCAGCTAAACCTAGAAAGTGCTGTGGGAAAAAGGTGAGATTTACTCCAATAAATATGATGCCGAAGTGAATTTTAGTTCAAGTGTTATGGAGGGTATATCCAGAAAACAAGGGGAATCAGTGAACGAAGGCGGCAATAATTGCAAATACGGCCCCCATTGATAAGACATAGTGGAAATGGGCTACTACATAGTATGTATCGTGAAGAACGATGTCTAAGGATGAGTTGGCTAGGACAATTCCGGTAAGGCCTCCTACTGTAAAAAGGAAGATGAAGCCGAGGGCTCATAGAAGGGGGGTTTCCCATTTAATGGCACCTCCATGCAGGGTAGCCAGTCAGCTAAATACTTTTACTCCTGTGGGAATGGCAATGATTATAGTGGCGGATGTAAAGTAAGCCCGAGTATCTACGTCCATCCCCACTGTAAACATATGATGGGCTCAAACAATAAACCCTAGGAGGCCAATAGCCATTATTGCTCAGACTATTCCTATGTAGCCAAACGGTTCTTTTTTACCAGAGTAATATGCAACAATGTGGGAAATTATGCCAAAACCGGGAAGGATAAGAATATAAACTTCTGGGTGACCAAAGAATCAAAATAGATGTTGATAAAGAATAGGATCACCGCCCCCTGCCGGGTCAAAGAAGGTAGTATTTAGGTTACGATCAGTTAGAAGCATGGTAATTCCAGCGGCTAAAACTGGGAGGGAAAGAAGGAGAAGGACAGCTGTAATTAAAACAGCTCATACAAACAAGGGGGTTTGATATTGTGAAGTTGCCGGAGGTTTTATATTAATAATTGTAGTGATGAAATTAATAGCACCTAAAATAGATGATACCCCTGCTAAATGTAGAGAAAAGATGGTTAAGTCTACGGAGGCCCCTGCGTGGGCCAGGTTGCTGGCCAATGGGGGATAGACAGTTCAACCGGTTCCGGCCCCTGCTTCAACTCCAGAAGATGCTAGTAGTAAGAGGAATGATGGGGGGAGAAGTCAGAAGCTTATATTGTTTATTCGGGGGAAAGCTATATCTGGGGCTCCAATTATAAGGGGGACTAGTCAGTTACCGAAACCACCAATTATGATTGGTATTACTATAAAAAAGATTATGACGAAAGCATGAGCTGTTACAATTACGTTATAAATTTGGTCATCGCCCAGAAGAGAGCCCGGCTGACTCAATTCAGCTCGGATAAGAAGGCTTAGGGCAGTACCCACTATGCCGGCTCAAGCACCAAATACTAAATAAAGGGTGCCAATATCTTTATGATTAGTTGAGAAGAATCAACGCGTGATTGCCACAGGTAAGATGGCTGAGTGTTAAGCGGTGGATTGTAAATTCACGAACAGAGGTTCAAACCCTCTTCTTATCAGGCAGCCTTGAGGTGTTACACATTAGATTGCAAATCTAAAGAAGTAGGCTAATTGCCTGCCGGGGCTTTCCCCCGCCTATTTTAGTCGGCTAGGCGGGGGAAAGGTAGATAGATGCTCGCTGGTTTGGGCGCTTAGCTGTTAACTAAGAAGTTACAGGATCGAGGCCTGTCTATCTAGGTAAGGCTTTAGCTTAATTAAAGTGTCTGTTTTGCATACAGAAGATGTGGGTTAGTGTCCCGTAAGTCTTAGGACAAAGGCTAGGAGATTTTCACTCCCACTTAGGGCTTTGAAGGCCCTTGGTCTTTTATCTTATCCTAAGCCTCTAGAGGATGGATAGGGCTAGTACAACTGGGGTTAGGGGTAGAAGGCTGAGGGTTATTGTGGAGAAGATTGCAAGGGGTAAGGTAAGTTGTTTTGTAGGGGAGCGCCATGGGAGTATACCTATAGTATTATTAGGGGAGATGGTTAGGGTTATGGCGTAGGAGAGGCGGAGGTAGAAGTAAAGGCTTAGTAGTGCAGAGAGAGCTGCTAAGGTGGCGGCGGGTGCTAAGTCTTGTTTAACTAGTTCTTGTAAAATAAGTCATTTAGGCATGAAGCCTGTTAAAGGCGGAAGGCCTCCAAGGGAGAGTAAGGTTAAGGGAACAATTGAAGTGAGGGCGGGTGCTTTAGTTCAAGAAGTTGCTAGGGTATTAATGTTTGTCGAGTGATTTATTTTGAATGAAATGAATAGTGAGAGTGTTATAATAATATAAATTAGTAAGGCTAAAAGAGTAAGGGAGGGGGAAAATTGTAGGACTAAAGCCATTCATCCTAAGTGAGCGATTGAGGAGTATGCTAGGATTTTTCGTAATTGGGTTTGGTTTAAGCCCCCTCATCCTCCAATAAGAATTGATAGGAGCCCTAGGGAGACAAGGATGGTGGGGTTGGCTGGTTGAATTTGAAGCATAAGGGAGAAGGGGGCAAGTTTTTGTCATGTTGAGAGGATTAGGCCTGTTGTCAGGTCTAATCCTTGGAGGACTTCGGGTATTCAACCATGAAGTGGGGCTAAGCCAATTTTTAATGCTAGGGCTAAAATAATTAGAGTTGAAGGGAACGGGTGGTATATATAATTAATGTCTCATTGTCCTGTAAGTCATGCATTTGAAATGCTTGCAAAGAGGAGTATGGCAGCTGCGGTTGCTTGAATTAGGAAATATTTGGTAGCTGCTTCAACTGCTCGTGGGTGGTGAAGTTGAGTTATAAGAGGAATAATTGCGAGGGTATTAATTTCTAGGCCCATTCAGGCTAATAACCAGTGAGAACTAGCAAAGGTAGTGGTTGTTCCAAGACCTAAGGCAAATAATAGAATAAATAAAATGTAGGGATTCATTAGTAAAGGAAGGATTTTAACCAACATGTTTGGGGTATGGGCCCAAAAGCTTATTTAGCTGACTTTACTAGGAAGTAGTGTAGTGGAAGCACTAAGAGTTTTGATCTCTTCAGGTGGGGTTCAAACCCCTTCTTTCTAAGGAGGCGGAGGGGCTTTAACCCTCATGAGGCACTCTATCAAAGTGATCCTTTATTTCAGGCACGGCTCCACAATATTAAAGTTGAGGGGGAAGGCCAGAGAAGGCAATTGGTAGTGAGAGATGTCAAATTACAAGGGCTAAAGTGAGGGGTAGAAAATTTTTTCAGATTAAATGTATTAATTGATCGTATCGAAACCGGGGGTAAGAGGCTCGTACTCAGACGAAAAGAACTGAAAGGAGTGCCGTTTTTGTTATTAGAGCAATGGATGTGATTTCTGGGGTAAAGTGGAAGAGAGAGGAGCCAAGGAAGAGAATGGCAGAGAGGGTATTTATTAGAAGGATGTTGGCATATTCTGCTAGGAAAAAGAGGGCAAATGGGCCACCTGCATATTCAACATTGAAGCCGGATACTAGTTCTGATTCCCCTTCTGTTAGGTCGAAAGGGGCACGATTAGTTTCTGCTAGAGTGGAGATATATCATATAGCTGCTAAGGGTCAGGCGGGAAAAATTAATCAGATGCTTTCTTGAGCGGTGCTAAATGTTTGTAATGTAAAGCCCCCTGTAAAAATAATTGCGTTAAGGAGGATGAGCCCTAGGCTGACTTCATACGAAATGGTTTGGGCTACGGCCCGTAGGGCCCCAATAAGGGCGTATTTTGAGTTGGATGCTCAACCTGAGCCTAGAATAGAATAAACTGCTAGGCTTGAAATGGCCAAAATAAATAGGACTCCTAAGTTTAGGTCGGCTATGGGGAAAGGAAGGGGCATAGGGGTTCATAGGATTAGGGCCAAGGTTAAGGCTAAAATAGGTATTATGATAAATAAAAGGGGGGAGGCTGTTGAAGGGCGAATTGGTTCTTTGATAAAGAGTTTTAGGCCATCAGCGAAGGGTTGGAGGAGACCATAAGGTCCAACTACATTAGGGCCTTTTCGTAGTTGTATATAAGCAAGAATTTTACGTTCAACAAGGGTGAGGAGGGCGACGGCTAGTAGAATAAAGACAATTAGTGCTAAGGGGTTGATGATAATATTGAGTAGAAGGGAGGTCATAGTTAAGGAGGGGACTTGAACCCCTGTAGAAAGGGCTTAGATCTTTTGCACTGGCCGGGCTCTGCCATCTTAACTTGCTATTATTTATAGCGTGGAGTCATGTCCTGTTGTCTATTTTAGTTGTTTTCATTAGATGAGGATAAGGCGTACTTATAGCATTGGCCTTTTTTCTTCGGTCCTTTCGTACTAGAAGAAATCATTTCATAGATAGAAACTGACCTGGATTACTCCGGTCTGAACTCAGATCACGTAGGACTATTAATCGTTGAACAAACGAACCCTTATTAGCGGCTGCACCATTAGGATGTCCTGATCCAACATCGAGGTCGTAAACCCTCTTGTCGATATGGGCTCTAAAAGAGGATTGCGCTGTTATCCCTAGGGTAACTTGGTCCGTTGATCGGTAATACCGGATCTGTAAGGTCAGAAATTCTGTTACTTAGAGCTGTGGCTCTTGGGTTTGGAAACATAAGGTGTTTCTTTTCCACGCGGGGGTTGGTTGTTTCCCCGTGGTCGCCCCAACCGAAGACATGTGACAGGAATCAATTGGTTATATCTTGTAAATAAGGGGTTTTAACATGATCTGTTCTTGTGTCTAAAGCTCCATAGGGTCTTCTCGTCTTATGTGGGTATTCCCGCTTCTGCACGGGAAGATCAATTTCATTGACTTAGGGAAGGAGACAGTTAAGCCCTCGTTTTGCCATTCATACAGGTCTTCATTTAAAAGACAAGTGATTGCGCTACCTTTGCACGGTCAAAATACCGCGGCCGTTAAACTATAAAGTCACGGGGCAGGCGGGACCTCTTATAAGGGGGTTTCAAGAGGCGATGTTTTTGGTAAACAGGCGAGGCTTAGAGCAGAGTTTGCCGAGTTCCTTCTTCTCTTTTTAGTCTTTCCGGGCTTACACGCCAGTGTAGGGTTAACGGTTGTTTTATTAGAGGTTTTTCTTGTTGTTTATTTCTACTCTGCTTCCTTCTTTGATTAGGGCCGTTAAATTTCGGAGGGTGGTCCGTTCCGATGTACACATGTGTTTGGAGAGAAGTGTATTCTCTTATTACTCATATTAGCATAATCTTTTCTATCGGAGGATAGAATGGCCTGGTAGATTTAAGGGGAATATAATTTGTTATCAAAATAATAGGTGGGGGGTATGTTTAAGCTTTAACGCTATTTTTTTAGATGGCTGCTTTTAGGCCCACTAAAACATCAACCTTGGTTAAATTTGATTATAATCCGCCTAGGAAAGTTGTATCTTAATTCAAAGGGGCTGTACCCCCTTTGACTAACTCTCTTACGGGTTCTCTGGGCCTGGTTTAAGGAGGACCAAGGGGTTGGGAGGAGAAGGTAAGAGGCTAAACTTCTATTTAATTCCCAGGCAACCAGCTATAACTAGGCTCGGTAGGTCTGTCACCTCTACTCAAAGCTCTTCCCACTCTTTTGCCACAGAGACGGGTTAGCCCTATAGATAGGCTGTCTTGGAGTAGCTCGTCTAGTTTCGGGAAGTCAAACTAAAAGGCTTTTTGCTTGGAGTGACTTGCTAAATCATGATGCAAAAGGTACGAGGACTAGTCTCTGCTTTTTGGTGCTTGACTGGATTTTTTCATTTCTCTTTCAGCGTTCCCTTGCGGTACTTTTTCTATGGCTCTACAGTTGATCCTTTTCTGTCACTTTTACTTAGGAGGAAAAATGGTTTAGGTTAAGTTGTTAAGGGAATTAGGGGTTAGTAATATTTTATGGTTGATTTTAGGGTGGGTAGGCTAGCTGTTAGGCTTCAGAGCGACCAGATTTGCACGGGTGACTTCTCAGTGTAAGGGAGATACTTTTCTGTCTTAGCTACGCTCTGATTTTTCCAAGTGCACCTTCCGGTACACTTACCATGTTACGACTTGCCTCCCCTTTGCCTATTTAGTTTATTAGGGATGTAGGTTGTTGGCTTGGGGAGAGTGACGGGCGGTGTGTGCGCGCTTCAGGGCCAGGTTCAGCGGAACACTCTGTTTTCTGCTTACTACTAAATCCTCCTTCATGTGAATAATTTCATGACACATTCCGTGATTTCCTCATTGAGGAAATGTAGCCCATTTCTTTCCTTCTCATATGCTACACCTCGACCTGACGTTTTGGGTTAAACCAATTTTGCTTACTATAGTACCTTCACAGGGTATGCTGACGACGGCGGTATATAGGCGGGATAGGCAAGGGAAGGTGAGGTTAGACGGGGGTTATCGGTTCTAGAACAGGCTCCTCTAGGTGGGTCTAAAGCACCGCCAAGTCCTTTGGGTTTTAAGCTAATGCTCGTAGTACCCGGGCGGGTAGTGATTGTAAGGTGCTACCAAAGTTTACGGCTGTGCATAGTGGGGTATCTAATCCCAGTTTGTTCCACAGCTTTCGTGGAGTCGAAATATTTAAAGCTACTTTCGTTATTGATCTTCATGCTCTCGGATACGTATAACAGTCTTGAGAGAGTTTGGCTTTATTGTTGCTTGTTTTCTAACCACGCTTTACGCCGAAAGCCATCAACTTGAGTCTCTCGTATAACCGCGGTGGCTGGCACGAGTTTAACCGGCTCTTTTAGCTTTAACTAAGTCAAGTTTACACTTATATCTTAATGTTTATCACTGCTGAATTCCCTTGGGGGTGTGGCTAAGCAAGGTGTCGTGGGCTAACTGTGTGTGCCTGATACCAGCTCCTTGTTTCCTTAAAAGGAAACTGTAGGGCATTCTCACGGGGGTGCGGATACTTGCATGTGTAAATTTTGCTAGAGCTGATAGAAAAGTCAGGACCAAGCTTTTATGCTTGTGGAACTTTTTAGGGCTCATCTTAACATCTTCAGTGTTATGCTTTAGTTAAGCTACACTAGCATTTGTAATATTGCAATATTATAATAACAAAAACATTTTAGAGGGAAAAAACACTAGTAGAGGCTTTCCTGTTTTCCGGGGGGTTTGCAGGATTTATAATGATGTCTCGAGAAGTGGGGGGGTAGGGGGGGTTTAACGCGCAAAAGCCGAGGGGGCGTTTAAGAGGAAAGTTAGGAGAATATTTCATTTGTTATGCTCATGATATCAGTTATGTACTTAACAATCAATATCTTTTAAGAATTCACTTACATTAATTAATGCAAGGAAATGTTCAACCTTAATTTAACATTTTAGTGTGCACTCTGAAATGTCAATTGAAAGGAAACCTAAAAAGAGAACCAGCTGCCCTATGGAGAGAACGCTCGGCATGGTGGGTAACGAGTATTATGTACTCCACCATTAACTTATGCAAGCTTTAAGGAAAGAATGGGGGACTTCAATTCATGTTCCTGAAATAGGAACCAAATGCAAGGAATAGTTCACTAAGTGAAACCCCCACAATTATTGTCCCTGACCATCAAGAAACGTATTCAATTAGAAATCAACTGATGGTGGTTTCTTACTACATCGGATTTTGTTTCCCAGGAATGTTGAGTCCTGGTATAACTAGACTTATGGATATTTTAGCTAGGGCAATTCAATTTCGCCAGGGGAGGGATCAATTTTATCTGTAATGATATTAATGGTTTATGTAAAATAAATAGTATTATTGGTTATTTATATGTTATATATATATATATGTGGGTTTCCATTAAATGTAGGTATACATTATTTGATATGGTTAATATCTATTAATGGGGATAATACATATATGTCATAAATGTACATATTCTTTCGCCGTGGGGCGAAGCTCGGCAAAGAATAGTTTAACTTAGAGCTCTAGCTTTGGGAGCTAGGGGTGGGGGTTAAACTCCCTCTTCTTTGAGCAGTAGGGGGGAATTTAACCCTCGGCATCCGGTTTACAAGACCGGCGCTCTGAACTGAGCTACTAATGCATTTAAGTTCAAGGACTTTATTTTCTAATCAGGCTGCGGCGGGGGAAAGGAAAAGGAATAAAGAAAAATATAGGAAGGAGGCA